CCTGTGCGTGACATGCATTTTTGTAAGTTTAGGAGCAATAAAATTTCTCAGTTCTATTTTTTATTCTCTGCTTTATGGAAAACTTTCTTGTGTCTTTGGCAAATGTATGAATTTTATCATGTAATTTTGAGCTTCTGAAAGTTACCTAGGTGAAAACTAAAGCATGGTTTAAAAATAGCCATGAAACCTTGCAGCAAAAAGGGGGTTTTGCTCCCTAAGATAAATGGTCACAGTGTATTCTTGTTCGAAGCTGCAATAATAAGAGGGAAGATAGCTTTAAAGGTTTGCTTTGGTACAGCACTGCCAAATGTGTGCCAGGAGTCATCTTCATGCTGAGATATGTCCCAAGAGCCAGTTCTGTGGCCAGAGAATACTACAGGTGTATTTGCATTTATTCTAAGGACTTCTTGTTAGCTTTATACATAAGAAATCCTTATATCTGTGCTGTTACTCAGTTTTGCTTTTATAACTCTCTGATTTAATAAAAAAAAAGTAAAATCACACATAAATAAATAAATTTTCACAAATCTGAGGCTCCAGTGCATTGTTTTGAAAACTTAACAGACTATAAGTAGATGTAATTGATACCATATGGATAACATAATACTATATACCCTTTACTATTTGCTCTGTAACTATTTTTGGCGCTGTCATTCATAGACTAAGAAAACAAATTTTCTTGTAGAGTACATGAAGTGAGGTGAGCTTAAATATTGGTCTAAAGTAAGCGCTTATGAAATGACTGACTAAAACCTTTAGTCAGTCAGAGCAGTGCTTGAGGTGCTGGAAATTGCTGTAGATCCTAAGAAAGTCAACTGGGGTCATGAGTTGATGTCCATAAAACTATGATACTTTGACTCACTTTGCACCCTATGCTTCTCTAAATGCTTGGTAAAGAATGGAAGAGGCATTCGACCTTAAAAATATTTAACTGAAGCTAAGTTTTTTTGAACTTGCAATGGTGCTGGGAATGGGGTTAGCAGTAGAGGGTTCATGTTATGGGTGCTTCTTATGTCAGACTTGGCTTCCAAGACACAGGCTTCTTTTCATATGTCAGTGAGCCACAAAATTAAGGATTCCCACTGTGCCACAGCAGTGGGAAGTTGTAGGTTCTATTGTCAGTATTGTTAACTCAGATTTCTTTTTTTTTTTTTTTTTTTTTAATACTATGCTCTAGGTCAATAAAATCAGTGGAATACAGGTATAACATTGCTATTCCATTTTAATCTACTTTTCAGTGTGAGGACAAGCTGTGAGCAGCTGTGTGCAGTGTGTTGTGGAGCAGTAACCTTAATGTGGGAGTCTGTTTATTTGCGTAAGAACCATAATGTTTTATACTGAGCTCATCGTGTCATGTTATTTGAACAGATTGAAATAAAAGAGTAAACTACATTATACATGTTGATCAATGCATAAAGTAGTTTTTGTGTTGATGCTAGTGTAGCAGTAGTTATATAAGATACTGCAATTCTTTGAGATGTTTCTTGAAATGAAAAGGGTAGCATGATTTGTTTTTTTTTTAATGATTGAAAGTTCTAGTATTGTAGGAAATTATGTTCCTTATAATGATTTAAAGAACAGCGTCCCTAAACAAACTTAATAACAAAATTAATTTTACCATGTAGAGAAGAATCCCTCATTAAATGATGCCAGTATGTTGATCATAGCAAATACGCTGTTTGCATTGTAGTGAGGCTTTTGTGATAATTGTATTAATAACAGAAAGCTGCTGGAGGTTTTCAGGGAATAACTTGTACTTTAAAAATGCTGGACACTACTTTAAAAAAAAAAAAAAAAAAAAAAGAAAAAGGGACTCTTACCTTATAATGAATTAATGGTCTTGGTTGAATCTTTGCTGTTAGGTAAGATGTTCAATACACTTCAGCCAGCTGGCTTAAGTCCTTGTAAGAATACACTTATCCTAAGGAAGATTAGTCTTTTTGATGATTAGTTCACTGCACAGAGCCTCACCTTTTTCTTGATGTATATAACTGAGTGTTTATATATTCACAAATCTTACATAAATACATGCAATCCTAGAGCCTTTTCAGGCATTTCCGTTATCAGTGTGCTATGATTTGTTTTACATTAAAGCTTTCCTACTTGATGTAGTGGTTTAGCCCATAAATATTGATTTTGATGACAAAATAATTAGGTTAGTTTGTTAAACAAACAGTGGTTTTGGAGGTCTGTTGGATTTCAGCTGAGTTTTTAGGAACACTATAGTGGTCCATAGGAACTAAATCTGTTACAGTTGCTTACAGTTGAGAGACAACTACCAGTGCCTGATAGTTCTAATCAGCTGGGCAGTGCTGTATGAATGGAAATAGTTTCTTTTCCTTTTTCTTCATTGAAGAGTCCTTTGCTGACAGCAAATATGTTATACTCTGCCAAATGAAATAGTGCATGAAATTCTGCTCTCTTTTTTAAGGAAGAAGTTTTGTGTGGTTTCCATGATTGTACATTGAAGTACTGAAGTTTCATTCAGCCTAATTATATTTTTCATCTTAACTGTAACCAGTGTTCAGATAATTATTCTGTCTTTAAAAAAAAAAAAAATCTAGCTATTACAGATGCTTGATAGCCAGTTTCATTACTTAAATTAAATTCAAGATAGAATAAAATTATTTATTAGTAATTTTTGAAAACGGAAATGTGCTTTTAATGCTTTGTTATGTTTTACACACTGATGCTGAAGCTTCCCAGTTTATTTTCATAAGAATAAATATGGATGTTCTAGGAGTGTGCATGTGGGTCACATACTTTTTTTGCCGTAGTTAATAAGTCCTTTTTGACAATTAGGTACATCAGATGACTCTAGGCTAAATAGGATCTCACAGGAATAGTTAGTCATTCCTTGCAAATAATCATTTCTTATTGAAAAATAAGTGTCAGTGCATTTAATTCATACTATAATTTGCATCCATTCGTGAGCATGTGACACTGTTTTTTTCTTTTCTTGGTCTGCTCTTCTGGACCGTGTTTGTACAGAAGTATTTACAAAAGACATCGAGAAGTTGTTGTCTTGTTTACTATTAAGAGCTCAGTTAAAAAAAAATTTCAATTGGATTTTGCTCTAAAAGAATGTATTGTCTGTTTAGAGAAGTTTTCCTCTTTCTGTATATTAGTTGACAGTGTGCTGCGTTTGTTTTTCATGCTGAGATAAATAATTGCTAAATAGAGAAGAGGAAAGAAAAAGTTTCCCAGAGTTTCATACAAGAAGGTTATTTCCCCTCCAGGCAGGGGCAGATGATCACAAGCAATAGTATTGTACAGAGTTACCCTTCTTCTTTGTAACTGATACACAACTGCTCCTAATTTAGCACAAATGTGAAGTAAAATGGATTTGCTTAAATTATCTCTGCTAGCTGTGTGTGACCTTCATCAGGAATGAAGCTAACCCATTTTACTTCAGGTTTTCATGGCCTAGAAGTATTTTGTCATCAGCAGTAGCTTTTCAGGCAAGCACTGGTACCGTCAGGATGCAGATGGTGGAATCCAGAGAAATGCTAGGTGGACTGTGTACTGTTGTCTGATGACGCTGTTTGACCACTGCTTGTAGGCATGCAACAAAACTGGTGGTGAAGCCAGGGGTGGCTTGTGTGCTGTTCACTCTGGCACTGGCCACCCGCAGGCGCTACTCCTCAGTTTGACCACTGGTCTCAGGTGTTAATATTTGCACAGTTGTCATTTAAGGGAGCTGAATGTCTTAGGCTGTTAAGGTCTGAAAGGGGAGTGCCAGGAATTGCAATAAGGAAGGTAGCCTGACGCTTCCCAGTATAGGATACTGGTTGGAGTTTTTTATAGCTTTGCAAAAAGTTAGCCTTTGGGGCTACATACACAGTTTGCCTCTAGCTTTTTTTTTTTTTTTTTCCCCTGCCAAAATTATTTATCTATCTATAAGAATATGTGGAAAATGTTATTTCTAATTGTAGAGTTTTCTTTTTTTTAAAAAAAATAAATCTTCTTTTGGAAATGCTGCATGTCCCTCTCTTGGAAGCAGAGACTAGGAGTTAGATGGCAGTGTGGGAAGCGCCGGTGATAGGCACTGGGGAAGAAGAGCAGCTTATGAGTCATGGCTTTCCCTTTGTCAGCACTGCAAAAATCTCATAACTAACCAAACTTTAACCTCTTAAAGAAATCACAGTTCTTGCATGCTGTCTTGAGCATGTGAGAGCTGTGTGGCCAGGAAAGGGAGGAGGGAGGCTGATCTGAGGGGACAAAACTGATGCCTTGTACCTCAGAAGCTGAGAGCAAGAAGGAGACCCGTGGGGCACTGGCACACACAGGGCCCTGGCATAGTCCTGGCCCCAAAATTCTGTGGACGGGGGAGACAGATCCTGGGGTAAGAGTGAGAGTTCATACAGTGGCATGTTGGGGAATGAAGGAGGGAGGAAGGAGAGGGAGTCAAGGGGTGTGTGTGGCACTGCTGGCCAAGCCTAGAAATGACGGAGCCAGGGGAGATGAAAAACTGGGGGGAGTTGGGTTAAGGAAAGACTTGGCAAGGGCACTGAAGGTAGGCAAGGAGGACCAGGGCTTGGATCAACATGGGCCGGAGGGTATGCCTTGAGGAAAACAGGCAAAGGGTTTGTTCTGGAAGGTCCTTTTCTACAGAGATCTCTGAATGTAAATAAACACTCTGATTTCAGTAGAAGCTCCTTGAGAATATGTTTTAACCATCATCTGTGGCTAGTCTCCATGCAGAGAACTGTTTTCTGTTTGCAACCAGTTTACTGCTTTGCCACAAGAGCTGCATGGTATATCTAAAGATTTCGACCCCACTGCTCTTCTTTGCAGGTGTCAGTGTGACCCCATCGTACAAGGTCTGATGTCTCAGTTTCTTTTTTCTAGAAGCGGTGAATTTTTGCAGTGTGGCAGTGTCCAAGTCAAGGAATGTCAAAACTGAGCTTGTCTTTGCAACGCTCGCTCTTTTCTTGAAGAAGCCTTGCAATTTAATGGTATTTAACTGCGTGCTGACGTGCTGTTTTTTTTTCCCTCAGGACCTCTACTTCATTCCATGCACGGGATGGACTTGCTCCGGGAATGAATCTGGTTAATGCGGTGGAGAAGGCTGTTCTCTGTAGTACCCCTGCCTCACTTCCAGCAGAAGTCGGGACGCGCGCGGCGGGCGAGGGAGGCAGGGGATCGCAGGAGGCAGACGCCGTTCTGGTGCTCTGCGCAGCTGCATGCTGCCCTGGCGAACGGGACTCTCTTCCTGGCTGTGCTGCCGAGTCCCTAGGTGATGCTAGGTAAGTTGCTCAAGCCTGGCTTCTCTTGTGTCTTTGCTGAAATGTACGCGTCTTGCTTTCTCGCAGATGACTTGAGATCTTTGGATGTGATCTGGAAAAGTGCTGAGCACTGATAACTGCGAGTGAGGCAGTGGGGGTTGAGGTTTGAAAGTGCTATATAAAGCACAATGTAATGCTAAGTGCTGTGAAAAAATTAGGTCTGAGTTATGCCAAACTGGAGAAAAAGCTGTCTTCAGAATTGGAGAATCATTTTGACCTTAAAGCTGTCAATGCTTTAGTTAGGAAGTTGGGAACAACACAGTTATTCTAAGTTAGGAATAACAGAGTAACAGTAGGACTAACCATTATGTTGATGAAGCACTCCACTGCACCATTGAATCCACAAAGAAATTACTTGTTCCGTCTTCCAAAAAAAATTTGAGTAGTATGCAGTAAATAAGGTATTGGACCTTATGCCAAATACCAAGAGTAAAACAGATTACTGTTTTGATTAGTGGTAATTCTGTACGCTGAATGAAGCAGAGGTGCTGTGGAAATGGTATGACATAACTGTGGTGTATACCATGCCACAGAAACAAACAAAGGCAAAATTTAGGTTTCTCTAAAACTTACTTCTGACATTTCCTCTTGTGAGTGCTTGCTTCTGCAGATTGTTTTTAGCGTGGATGTTTGTATCACATAATATGATACGGGGTGCCAGAAGCACAACATTTTTTGATGCTGTCAACTCAGATAATATTATGTACATAAAACCAAAATGACACATAAATTCATCATTCATCACAGGGACATGCCTCTTGTGCCTGGTTGTTGTATCAGATGCAAAGTAGACTGTTTGTAATGCCCACAGTCAGAATCGCTTAAGGTCAGAATTTCATCTGCATTTCTTCAGGCTCGGGATTTGTATTTTCCCAGTGTGACGTCCATAGCTAGCTACAATGCTGTCGTAATCGGTAGATACCAGAAAATTTTTTGGCCAAGGCGTGGTTAAGCTAAATATTGTTTTAACTTAGCTAACCTGAATGCAGAATATATAACATTAGATCATATTTAATGAATTAACGAAGAGCGTGTCTTTGGTGCTTAGAAATGTGGTGTGTTTGCCAGATAAGCTGTTGCTCCCTATTGCAGGAGAGAGAGAGAGATGGTAAAAGCTATGAAGCTTTGATAATGGCTAAATATTATATTAAATACACAGAGTAAGAATGCACGTTCCCCTTCCAGTCTGCTCATGGGGGATCTGTTACATGTGGCTTTGTAAAAGCCTGCTGTAATGCTTTAGGTGCCGAGCAATATTTTTAAGTGCTGCTTTCTAAGAAAACCTGAGGTATTTTTGTTTGACTGCTGCCGTACAGTGCAAGTCGTTCTTTAAATATTTAACCATAAACAAAAAAGGCGGGGGGGGTGGGGAGCAGGGGAAACAATCTGTATTTTATGAGCAGAAGTTAAAAATGAAATTATTTGCTTTACCTAGAACATTGAAAATTATGTTGCAATTAGACTGATGCAATAGCACACATTACGAAAGGATCGCACAATTCGCAGAGCCTGCTGGAGAAAAGCACGGGACTGGAACAGCAGGGGTGTTGTGGGCCTGCGGGGCAGCGCTGGCAGAGCTACGCGGGGAAGATTATCGGCTAATGTGGGGAGAGGAGCGCCAAGAAAAATAAAAACTCTCCCTTTCCAGCGTATCCCATAAAACGGGGGGCGGGGGGGAGGAGGAGGGCGACTTGTGTTATCAATGTGCCTACTTTATTTTGGTGGCACGTCTAATCTGGTATGGAAAATGTTTTCTGTTATGTGAAAGAAAGAAAGAAAGAAAGAATGGAAATGGAAGCTAATTTTGAGCCAATATATTTTGAAAGCTGCTAATAATAGTGGAATTTTATTCCGCGCACTCTATTTCTACAATTGAAAAGTAAAATTCCTTTGGGTTAACTGAAACATCTGTTGAACAAATTGGTTCAGTTTCATGAGTGTGTTACTAATTCTGAGAAGTAGATGGTGTTTTATAAAACTAGTAGAGTCCGGGGGGTTAGTGCCCATATTCTTTCATTTTTTAACTTTTATTACAGTGGGTCATTTTGAAGTATTACGTTTTCATGAATACAGTAATACTGTGGTTAATATTTCTAGTATTCCAAGCTTTACCTTTGCTTTAATGAGTTTTCTTCACTGTTTTTAATCAACATTGCTAATATTCTTTTAAAGTCATGTGTTTCCAGCTTTTTGTGAGGTTCTTGATAATTAAGTAATTGACTAATTTTTATTTAAACTCTCTTTTGGTGAATTTCTGCTTGTATTTCCTTGTTTCTGCAGATTTTTCTACTCACAAAGTTTGAATGTTAAGAGGATTTTAGTTGCTCCTACTGCTGTTTTCACGTTTGGACTAATTATTCTTTGTAACTTCATGGTTGTGGGAAGAATATTGTAGGTGACAAATCGATTTATGGCTTCACGTGGTGAAAGCTAAGAATATCATAAGAGTCAACAAGCTGATGTCATGAATTAATAAAAGAAGAAAAAGGGAGAAATTAAAAACAGTTTCTAAAATTCTGTTTGCATGTGACAGGAATGCTCTAATCTTATACACATATACACATCTCAAAGCAGTTTAGGTTTCTCAGGTACATCTATCAATATCATCACTGAAAGGAAATCACAAGTAAGTGTAATGTTAGCATGCAGATCAAATTAAGTTAATTAAGGTCTGTGTGCTTTCCTGTTAAATATATAAAATCAATGCAAGTTCCTGGGTACTACATGTAACTAGCTGTAATACTTTGACACATTTAAGGGGAAAAGCTGAACTTTGAGTTTAAACAGTATATAAGTATTTTCTTTGTAGCTCATATATTATGTGGAAAATACAAGACTGGCATTAAGTATGTACATTCAGTGTGACTGTAAAATATGGCATTTTCAGCTTCGTGGCCAGAGTGTCTGACTGTTTAGAGTAGCTCAGTGAATGAAGGACGTGAACGGAAGTTGATAATACTTTCTAATGTTAGTTTTACCAGATAATTTCCTTTACTTTTTATTATGGCTATTTTTGAAGCTTTAATGTATGTTAATTACGTGGTAATTTGGTTGTCTTCTTTAAAGATAATGCAAGTATACATAAGAGGGACAGCAGTGTGGAGTATTACTGCTTTTGAGGGATTGCTGGGTTGATGAGGAATGGTGATGCATAATTGAGTTTTGTGAAGGTGCATGTGAGTATTGGCAGCACAAGGAGCTGCCCCACTGCTGATAAGATGTTCCAAACTCCCCTTGTGTCAGTTTTGTCCTTGGTGCAGCTCGCCGAAGTTTCAGATGACGTGCATGAAATTAAGTGAGGGGGAAGTTTTGTGGCTGAAGTCCTGTGCCAAGTCTTTTTGAAGTCATATGCAGCAGCTGTGCTGTAGCTAAAGAAAAGCTTTCTTTGCCTCCATCATAACATCTGCATGATCTTTAACAGCAGAATTGTTCCACTATGATGTATCATTTAGCTAATCCGGGTTGCCTTCATTAAGTCTTTTTTTCTTTTCCTTTTTAGAAATGCTCACATTACTTTTGGGAATAAGTTTGCAAAGATCTGGACTTGAGTGCTTCTATGTAGAAACAGTAGGCTTCAGTCGAAAAAAAATAGTCAAAAGAGGAGTTGAGACTTTGCAGCTGTAGCTCAGTGAGGCTCTTAAGGTAACTGGGCAGATTTGGACTGCACCCCATGAATTGGATTTTTCTATGTCCTTCCTTGTTTGGAGGATAGGGGTTGAACATGGGGTCAGTTTTTGTGTAGATGTCACAAATGCAGCATCATCGCAGCTAACCGTGGTCTAACAGCTTCCAGAAGTGCAGCTTGCCACCCTCCCTGCCGAGGTATTACCCCCTCTCCCTCATGCCAGCGCCGCTGCCGCCACGACTCTGGGGTGAGTTGGCTCAGGGAGCCACACCAGTGGTCAGCTCACTGCATTTTTGGTTGGGCTGCTTGGCTGGCTCTTCAACTCTTTGAATCTTGCTAACTGCAGAGTTGGACAAATGTCTGTGCTGAAGATGGCCTGGAAGGGGGACAGCAGGACCAGCCTCCTCTAGTTGCAGAATGGCTTGTCTGCCACTTCAAAACCATGCTTTGACTTGAGGCAGGAAGAAGTCAACCAAGGGAAGTGTTTTTAAAGCACATGAATTAGACTGTATACCGTGTTTACTTTGAATGCTAAGTGGAGAGAAATCAATAAATCAAGTGTAATTGAATTCGAAATTTTAGCTTCAGTGTTTCTTTTAGTTGGCGGTTTTTGCATAAGGACTTTTAAACTGAACCTTTATTTAATCTTATTCCAGTTTGAGACTAAGAGGCGTGTAATTGTTCACTGTCTGTTAGCATGGCAAAGCTGACATGTTCTCGTAGTTAAAGGGTGGGATCTAATGGTCAGAAATAAAAGGTTGTGGTCTCGGAGAGCAAATCAAAGGTAGTAGGAATGCTCACACTTCTCAGTGTTAAGGATTTTGGTGATCTTGACTGTATATATCTTGCATTTATAGAGGGTGCTTGACTCCCAAGTATGTCATGAACTAAATCTGGAGGAATACATTGTAAATTACATGTGAGTGGGGGTTTTTTGTAAGTAAGAATTATCACATTTTATCATCAGGAATTACTGGATATGTATTTGCTTTTCAGTTGAACAATATGATCAGTCTTCCTGCTGTAATCTCGTAGGAAAATGACTGTCAATGGAAAAGCAGAGTGCTGATTTATGTAATTGTACTCATTGCAGAAGTTTGGTTTGTGAGATCCAATTAACATAAAAAAGCAAAGTAAGAGAAAAGGCACAGGAAACATACTGCTGCTTATCAGGGTTGTTAAATGGTATTTTCAAAATTACATTCTAGTCGAATAATGATTTTCTTCGATTTATGCCAGGAGGACTGCGTTACTCCCCATACTCAGTGTCTATAAAATTGACCATCTACTTGCCACAATGAAGAATTAATACCATACTGTGCAAAATAACAAAGCT